CAGGAGAAAGGGCCCACGATAGATCAGGCTGCAGAAACCAACACTGGATTTTTTTGGAAGAGCAATAGGAAACGACAGGAAGCAGCGTTGGATTTCAGGGAAAAAGCTGCGTTGTTTTGTGCGATTGGGAAGAGCAAAAAAAAAAAACTGCTTTATTAATTGCGAGAAAGTTCAGCGGCTCGGAGGGATAACAGAGAAGCCATCGACACAGGTTGCCGATGAGAGGGCGAGCCAGCCAACAGAGGTCTGACAGAAATATGGCAGAGATCTTGCCAGTTTGCTGGTGAGAGGGCGACAGTAATCCACGGTTGGTTGCCACACGATATACTCTTGACGAGGATCTTAAGGACGTCGTGACTATAGATGTGTTCTAGTCTCGCGACTAGAAGGTCCTAGACCGGAATTCAGGGATCAACTCTAAAGCGATGGGAGGACCGACATCTGGAACTACCTGCCGAAAGGATTGGTAGCAGCAACAACCTTTAGAAAACTGATAGGGAAGAGTGGAACTAGTGACAGTTAGGGTGAAAACGACAGCTAGGGGAACCGATGATTATAGATCTACACGACAGATATGCAATAGTTCTTTATGGGAAAAAATGATTGGGCAGCCAACAACAGAAAATTCTCCATGTAATAAATCTCTACGAGAGGAAAAACGGGAGGAAGAAAAACTACTGGGAAACAACTGCTTGCTTTCTAGAGGCCGGAAGAGTCGAAGCTCCCTACTCGGGAAGGGCCAACCAACAGAGCAAGCCTACTGGGAGAGAAGAAGAAAAAACTTACTATTTTAAATACCAAAAAGAGTGTCCCTCCCTTCTTTCACAGAGGATGACGAGAATGGAGCTCGACGGTTCTTGGAAGGAGAACTGACAAGAACTGATGGCTAGGGTACAAACCATGTTGAAATTCAGAATAATGGAGAATTTTTACTGATATGAAAAGAAGGTATAATTAACTTTTACATGAATCCTAAAATAGGAAAGATAATAGAAAGAAATAACGGGAAAGGAAAGATATTACTCATAATATCTATAATTAATCAATTCATATTAATTTTTTTGAAGATAAAGGAAGAAAATAAAATATAAAAGGAAATAAATTCAATCTAAGGAAATAATTTTTTTCTTATAAATTCTTACAGAAATAAATTATTTCCTAATATAACTTCTAACAATAATACTACCAGTGAAGAAGAGTTTTTGAATCATTAAGAAGAGATTGAGGAGCCATTCTATTATGAGAAAATTAAGGAATTGAAAAGTTCTTATATTACTGCATGTTAATTTGGTTGGAAACATTGGACTTGTGGTACTTTCTAGCAATAATAAGATGCATTGAGCTCATGTAATGGTGGGGTAGGTTTGAAAATGTAATGACATGGTGCGGTATAAGTGTCCTTGTTGGAGCAATTGCAACGATATGCGCAGACATGTAATAGTACCCTGTATTATAATGATAATAATAACAACAATAGTAAAATAAAATTATCTATTTACGACATTTTAGAGAAGGTGTTGTTTCCTCGAGTCCTTGCCACACTTGGAAGGCTTATTCGAGAAATATGTTTTTGTTCCTTCATTATATTGAGCAAATGAGCGAGAGCCACTAGAGAGAGAGCGTGAGCAACAACAGAGAGAAGAAGAAGAAAAGGGAGTGGAGGAAGAAAAAGAGAGAAGAGAAGAAAGGTTTTGTGATTCTTACATGAGAAAGGAGTGTGGAAAATCTTGCAACCACGCCTATGCTTGAAGGAAACTCTTGATCTTCATTTTCTTTAATAGAATCAAGAGCACTAATGCTCAAACAGCATGAGGGAAAGGTTTTTCTGTGAAGAGAAGTGCTTGACCGAGCAAGCACGCACATTGTGAAGCCGAGCGACTCAAATAGGGTTTGCTCATGCGTCATCGATCGTCGGCGAACGAAGAATAAGAGGAAAGATGGGAAGGTTGAGCACTTTCTCCCTGTGCGTGGCACACAGAGAAATGATCGAGCTCCTTGCGCAATGAATGGCTCATGAGGCCTAACCACAACTTCAAATGCTCTAACCAAGCAAATGGAGGAGGAGAGTGTGCGTGCGCGAGAATAGCTCGACCTAGCCCTTACGTGCTCGATTCAAATAACTTAGGGGCAATACAAAGAATTTCAAGGAAATGTAGTAAATTAGGTTTAAGTTATTAATGGTAAATAATTGAAAATGACTTAATTTTGTTAAAAATTATGTAGGAAATTTGGCAATGAAGTTAGGTAGATAAAGGGGACTAATTTTAGGTATGAAGCTTGATTTTAATAATTGATTATTATTTTTTCTAATTGACTAATGTAAAAATGAATTAACGAACCCTAATTTTAAAATTTATTTACAATTACTATTAAATTTAAATGTGCCGAAAAGCAAATTTTATAAGCTGTAGAATAAAATTAAATTAATTTACCATTATATGTATTATTATTAACAGACTGTTGTTTAAATCACCTAATTGAAAATTTGATTGAAAAAAAATGTAATTTTAATACTTCTATGAAATTGTAAATTAGGCAAAATTTCAAATAAACATATTTAAATAATAATAGTAAAGTTAGAATTGAAATGAAATGAAAATTAAATCGATAGAAATTAAACGATTGTTATTGGTTCACCCAAGAATTAGACTGAATGAAGAAATGGGATGACCAAATCACTGTACAGGTTGGTAAATATTTCTAATTTATAATATTTCCATTTAATTATGCATTTTTTTACTATTTCTCAGTTTTTAAAAATGCAAAAGTTCATTTTTTAAAAAAGTTATATATATATATATATATATATACTTATATGGTACTGACAGAGGAATGCAATGTACTCATGCATGAAAATGAAAAAAAAAGAAAATGATTGTTTATCTTTATGCTGAGTCAGAAAATATTGAACATTTACTTTTAAAGTATACTTTTAGACGGTGACTCCTAATAATGAAAATTATAACATGAATAAATAAATGTAAATGAAACTAGTTTCTTTATTGTTTTTTTTACCACACAATTTTTTTTATTATTTTCTTTAATTTTGCAAAATAGTTTAAAAATGAAAATTATTATAATTTAGAAATATTTACTTTACCGAGTAGTTTTAAGTCAACCCTTCAGTTGCTAATATTTTACAGGAAAACCAGTTTTAGGCTATAGATGGACCGTGAAGATACGTGTACCTACGCCATTGAGCGCAGGTTGATAGGTGTTGTGTGTTAGTTTTATTATGTCAATTGTAAATATTTACAAACCTTAACAAATAGGTTGGAATTTTAAATTTTATAAATCGATTGAATCTTGTGTTTTGTATTTTATTTTGTTATAAAATGAAACTGTTTAGATAGTTTTCTTCCGTCATGTCAGTTTTCAACTTGGTAATTTTAAGCTCCTGGGCTTGATCATGACAAAACAACAGACTGGTGTAGGATTGGATGTGAACTCATGATAGAGTTGTGGGTAAGGGTACAAATTTCACAGTTGGATGTAGGCTTGCAGCATGGAGAACAAGCTTAAGGGCAAGGGCTAGGGATCAAAGAAATTGGAGTAATCCACGATTACTCCCTCTCCTCGCCCTCGCCTCGCCCTCCCCGATCGCCTTGCTCAGACCGATCTCCTTCTCCCTTGCCCTCGCCTCGCCCTCGCCTCGCCCTCTTTTCATTTCGCTGCCATCCCTCGACTCGCCCTCGCCTCTCTAGCGTGTCATTTCGCTGCCATTTCGTGGCCCGGAGGAAGCTATGATTCCTTCTTTGATTCTCTGTTTTCTTCTCGATTTTTTCTCCGCTTTCGTTGCGAACCCTATAATCGGGTTGACTTTCGTGTTGCCGCCCGGAGGAAGCTATGATTCCTTCTTTGATTCTCTTGCCTGTTTTCTTCTCGATTTTTTCTCCGCTTTCGCTGCGAACCCTATAATCGGGTTGACTTTCGTGCTGCCCCGAGCTCCTTGCTCTGTATCTTGGTCGGGTCAGGAAAGATCGATTGTTTTTGAGCTGATGGGCGAAGTTAATGGCGATTCTACCGAGTTTGCTTTGATCTGCCGAGAATAGGTAAAGAATTTAGTACTTTGTGCTCTTCTACCTTTAGATTTTTCTTTTTTTGTTGATCTCAGTTTTTCTTGGTGATTCTGTATGTTGTTTTTTTGGAGCTATGGTATTCATGCATGGAATTATTTAAATCTGTTGTTGAGATGGAGCAAAAAACTCAATCGTACAAAAAACTCTTTTGATCGTGCTGTAGAATTGAGGTAACGAAATAGTGAGTAGTGTATTTTAACTTATGTAACTGATCTATAATTGTTTGAGATTTTTGTTCTATCTTTTATTTTTTCTATTCAGTTCTGTTGCAAACAGTTTAACCAAACATGGGCAGAATGATCATTTATCCAACAATAGCTGCTAGTAAGTTGTTCTGAATAAGCTGTCCCAAAAAACAAGTCAACTTGTTTTGATAATCTGCAGATTATCAAATTATCAGAATAATCTGCATATTAGCAGATTATAAATAATCAACAGCTACCCCCAAACAGACCCTTAGTCCGGCTTTTAGGGTCGTTATTAGTATTTCAGATGTGCTATTAGTCTATTAGTCGTCAACTGGTAAAAGACATTTTCTTCTTGGTAGAATGCTACTTACATCTTCCATGACTGTATTGAGCCATTTATGATTATTTAACGCTTGAAGGCAATGTTTGGAACTGTGTTTTTTTTTTCTTCCCTGCTTTTTCCCTCTTTTTGAGAAAAAAAAAAGATATAAGTGCAGAAAGTGGTTTGATCAGAACAATGCTTTTTCGTTCTTTTCTAGATTTTAGCTATATTTGGAGCTATGCCATGCTTATGGACTAACATTTAGTGTATGTAATATTCTTTATTTGCTTTGAACTGTTTTAGTGCTGTATGAGTACCCGCACTGCATGTTCTGGGAAATAGTATTTTGCTAGTAAAAGTCATCATCCTCCTTCTCATTTTTACAAATGAAGTTGCTGATTTCTATTTCAGGAATTCAAGTGTGAAATATGTGGAAATCACAGTTATTGGGGCCGTCGAGCTTTTGAGCGTCATTTCAAAGAATGGCGACATCAACATGGAATGCGGTGTCTAGGTATACCTAACACCAAAAATTTCAATGAAATAACTAACATTCAGGTGCGTTGACCATATTCTTAGATGTACTTTTTAAAACTAATATTGAGTTATTATGTTTAGTAACCATAAAATTTAGTATATTTCAGCTCCTTTGCATTATAATGACAAGTTTCTGAACTCAAACGTAGTTTGTCATTTGATTACTTTGTTTGAACTGATGACCATGTTATATTAATTTGCAGTTCTACAACATCTTGATTTGATAGCATGTTTGTGAAATAATTTGGGGGCATTTAATGCATGCCACCCAATTCTCTGTTTTTACATATCTAATACCTAAATTTTAATTTTTACATTTATATCACTCATTTCTTTCATTTCACATAAAAAATACTATATCTTCTAAAAAGTGATACACATTTTCATGCGTATGTAAGGTGGCATATCTTTTTAAAAAATGAAGTTGATGTGTAAATACATAATGAATTAAGTGGTTTGTATGTTACTTTTTTTTTCTGTTTTTACATTCAATTCTAATGAACTGATTAGAATTTTAACATTCATCGGCATCAGAGCACTTCAGATGCCTAGGCAACACTAGCTCCTTCACCGTTCGTGAGTTTCAATTTCATTAGGCCACCCTGTAATGTGTCTTAAATAATTAAAATCTCTATTGAGGCGACATGACTTGAACAATCATCTTTATAATTACTTTTATTTTTATTATCCTTATTACTACTATTATTGTTATTATTATTAGTATATATATTACCATTTTTATTATTAATATTATTATTATTATTATAGTAAATTATTATTATTATTGTTATTGTTATTGCTATTGTTTTTATTATTACTACTTTTAATGATATTTTTATTTTCTTATTACAATTGCTTTTTTTACCATTATTTCTATTTTTTTCTACTATTATCACTTTTTACTATTTCTATTGATACCATTCTATTATTACCATTATTATTCCTATGATTGCTATTATTGCTAATACTACTATATCTAGTGCATTTACTATTATTAATATTATTAATGTGACTGTTAATATTAGGGGTTTACATACATACCACTTAATTCCTATCTATTTACATGTCTAACACCTAAACTTCAATTATGACATACACACCATCTTGCATCCATAAATCTTATATATATCAATTTTCCTATGATTGCTATTATTGCTAATATTTTTTCATGTGGTATGAACGATTTGGGTGTTATAAATATAAAAGTAAACTTTAGATGTTATTCATGTAAATATGTAATAATTGAGTGGTATGTATGTAAATCCCCTCCCCGTTATGTAAATATCCTCTAGAATAGCTTACGCCAATAGTCCATCTTCTAAATATTCTGTTATCGTTTTCTCAATGGAACGAGTGACACACTGACATCAAATGTTGAAACGCTTGTGCTGCACTGTTTCTGTGTACAGGAAGCGAAGGAGCTGTGGGAAAAAATACAAGAAAAGCAAGGACTGAACAAATGGCGACCTGACCTCGAAGAAGAATATGAAGACAAAGAGGGCAACATCTATAATAAGAAAACTTACACAGATCTGCAGCGCCAGGGTCTGATATAGGTCGTCTTCTTTTTTATCAAACTGCTTTATTTTTTTTAATTTTTTTTTATTTTGCAATTCGAACGTTCATTTTGTGGCATGCTTGTCAGAGGTACCTTGTACGTTATTGTCATATTATATTTGGGGACTTCTCAATTATTCAGAAGTTTCATTTTAGGCGCGGAAATATTGTAAGATACTGATTCCCGGAAAAAGAAGGATTTTGATGACAGGAAATACTGATTAGGCAAAATTTTTGAAATAGATATGCGTAGGGTTTTTCTTTGCTTCCTTTTTGGCAATAATCAGCGCCGAAAAAAATTCCAGTAAGTGAAATCTGAATTTTTGCTTTTTTTTTATTTATAAATTCGGGCTGTCCTATCTCTATTAAATGTTTTTTTTTATAAAAAATTGAAGGCTTTTTTTTTGTTAAGGCTAGAGTTTTGGTGGTTATTTCGGACCAAGATCTTTCATGCTACATGTCTATATTTAATGAGATTAATAATTTTTTGATATTTAATAGCTAAGTTTAGAAGATTCATAGAAAGAATATATGATAATTATGTGTATGATATATTATATATATATATGCTAATTAATAAAAAAATTATTATATTGCTTATGAAATATTTTTATTTTTTTCGTCATTTAAATGAAAGAATAGAAGAAAAAAAGTGTTGGAACTCCAAAGAGAACATCAAGTAAAGCTTTCATAATTTGTGCATGGTCGCCACTACGATTTCATAATGTGACGATAAGTCGTTATGTAATTTAAATATTCTACATCATTCATATTTGATGTTGTAATTTTTGGATGTGTAGGCTTGTTTCTGTCAAAAAGTTGTGGTTTTGGAGCTATGTAGTTTTTAAGCCTCGAAGGTGTTGGGCTTTTCTGATGGCTGCTCCAATCCAAAAGGTCCATGCAAGTACAATTTTTGCTGACTTTTGTTGTCAATAAAATTTAAAATGGAATATAAAAAATATGAGAAAACATGATATATAACAATTAATTGTCTTTTTCATTATCACAAAATGAGGTTCGAAATGGTAAAATACATATCATTTGTAAATTGGAATATTACAAATTTTAATATTACAAATTTTTTAAAGTAATTTATACTATTAATCAATAACTTTAATTTTTCTTTTAGTTATTTTATAAGAACGTTTGATATATCATGACTTTAAATAGATATAATATCTAAAAATAGTATTAATTAAAGTGGTGAAGTGCTAACCGGTGACATTGAGCTCGAAAAAAAATGTCTTTTATAAATAAATCACGAATTACACCATTTTTCAATATAAACATATATCAAAATATACACATAAGCTAACAATGAAGTCATATAAAAATAACTTTGAGATGCTGTATATAAACGTTAATGTTCTCGCCGATGTTTTCGTGTTCGTGGCATGGCATTTGTAGTGATTTGGAGCTTGAAGCGAATGCTATAGTAGCTGCTAGCCTACGTACCCTCCTCAATAGTAACTCCTGACAAGTTGACATTAGTGACATCTAACTTTGCATGCAACATATCTTTTGTATGGCATGTGTGGCGTGATACAGTTGTGGTACCATTGATGGTGGCTTCCATTAACAATTTGTATACTGCAGTAGTGTCAGAGAAATGCTCGTTGTCAATGTGAATGGTGGATATGGATAGTAGAACATCAGAGTATGTGGCTGTGCAAGGGTTAACACAAATGATAACTAATGCGATAACATGCATGGAAAAGGAATTGATGATGGACACATGGACATGCATAAGTAGATAGATCAGGATCCTAAGTTATGAGTGGAGAGGCTGGTGTAGTTGACACAAATTGCAAAGAATGATGTTAGGTTCTATCCTCAATGATGTACATGCTCTGATGAGCGTCACTACATAGCTCGTCAACATTGTTGGCTACACATTAAAGCGGGGAATCATCAGATCTAACTAAATAAATTTAGAGTTTCTCCTAAGATATCTGAAAATAGTGAAACTAAAAATGAAGTAAAAATAATAAGTATAATTATAACATAATATAAATGGATAAATATAAAAGCACAACTATACCAGTATTCGCTCTCCAGCAGCTCCAGGATAATAAATATGTTGATGGTGGAGCTGTCAATGCCTTCAATAAAAATATAGAAGCCCATAATTTATACCAGTGAAGATACTCAATAAGTTATTTGTAATCCCCCTCTTGGTATTGAACAAGGCCATGTCAATTGTTCGATAATGAATAATGAGCATGATGAAAGTCGACTCAATCCACATCTTCTCTCTCCCTGCCATCAATTGGTCAGAAACCAAGCTTTATTGACAACAAATCAGGCAACTATATAGCACGAAATTGCTTGACAACATGACCATGCAGATGCTACTCTATTTGGCGTCAACAAATCAGAGGAACGCAAGCCTACAAAATATCTACCGTTGCGATGAAAATCTTGACTACCTCAAACATAATCTTTGTGCTATATGAATCTCATATACCTATATTTTTGACACCTTCATAGCCATGGGGGGGAGGCAGGTGTGGGTGAGATATTATTTTTTTTAAATTTTTGGTTGCAGCATGCATATAGGAGGGAGGGAGGGAGAGAGAGAGAGAAAGGGGGAGGGAGCAGGGAGGGGAGGCGTGAGATTTAAATAGGTTTTTTAAAAAGATTTTATATTTTATCGTATAGGCATGAGATTTAAATATTGAGTTTTTTTTTACATATTTTATTTGATTTATATATATATATATATATATATCTTCTTCCCACCTATTTTATGAATGTCCTCTCGCTAGGGAAGTTTGGGACAGATTTGGTAGAATCTTTGGGGTATGTTGGCCCCTTAATTTTACCTTGGAGAATTTGCTTGGGACTTGGAAGGAAACAAGCTATATACATGTTAAGTTGCATTACTTTCCTCTAATGGTTTTGTGGTTTATCTAGTTGGCTAGAAAAAGTTATAAATATAATGCTAATACTCCTCCTTCTCTCACTGTTTCTTTTATATTGGCCAACTATCAAAAAGCTTTGAGATCCTTAAATGCTGGTGGCACTTTACATATGCCTGAGAGTGGTAGGAGACCAACTTTGATAAGTTGGAGACCGTCCTCCCATGGCTGGTTTAAATTTAGTATTGATGCTAGCTAGTCCTCTAATACTGCTGGGGCTGGCGGCCTCTTCCGTGATGATACTGGGAAATGCCTAGCTTTTTTTGCCTCACCTATTTTTGCTTCATCCCCTCTTGAGGTTGAGGGCTGGGCTGTATTGCTGGCTCTGTTGGATTGTGTTTCTCTTCATCTCTGATTTGTGGTCATTAAGACTGATTCACAAAGCCTTTTTAATATTCTTACCAGGAAAATTAAGCATATTTGGTTCCTCACTTGATGCTAAATCGTATTACAGATATTATTGACAATAAAATGTTAAATATTCATTATAGCTTCACTTATAGGGAGAGAAATGCCCCTCCTGATTGGCTCTCTAAGCAGGGAGTTTCTGGCTTTATTGTTGTTACTAAACCTCCTACTTATCTTCATACACTCCTCTTTAGTGACTTGCTTGATACTCCTTACATTAGGAGCTAGGTTTTCTGGTTGCTTAACTGGTTTTACCCCGTGGATTTTGATTCTAATCATGACATATATGCTGTACTAAAATTCACTTCTAGCTATATTACCTGGAAATATTTTTACAGGTTTTACTGGAAGCTTGACTTCAGGCTAGTCTATTCTACTTTAGCTATTTGTTTTAGGGACTACAATCTTTACAAAATTTGGGAGCTGATTTTTCTTTTTTTCTATTCTCACTTTTCGGATGCACCCTTGGAAAAATTTACTGGTTTCGATTTTCATGCCTCTTTTTCTGATGCAGCTTGTTGATGTTTTATTATGGGATATCTGTTTTTTGATTAACTACTGGGTGGATGAAGGTTCTTCGCTCTCTGTTGGGTATCGGGTTGCTGTCCTCTTATTTCTCTGTCACAGGGAATATAGTTTCTACTTTGCTCGATTGCCACTATTTCTTCCTTATTTGGATAACGGGCTTTTTGGTGGTGCTTTCTCCGTTATCTGTTGGGTGATGCCATCTATATGGATATATACATTTATATCCAGAAACATGCTTTCTGGGTTTTTCCTGCTTTCTTGGTTGTTTCTGGGTGATGCCATGCTTTGCTTGGCATTATCTCTTGCTGGTTTTCTTCTTTTTGATACAGGGTTTTTCTTACAGTTTTTCTCGGTTTTCGCTATCTTTTTTGCTGGTGTTATGTTGGACGTCTTAGATATGTTGCTCTCTTGTGTTGGTCTCTATTTTTTTATGTACTTGGAGCTCATATACTTTGGAGACTACGTGCCTTTTTTTGGGTATACTTGTATATTTTTGTTGGGGTATACTTGAATTTTTTTGGTAATTTTATGTGTGGAGTTGTATGTGAGAGGTGGACTCCCCTAGGGGCTCTTTCTTTCTTTCTTTCTTTCTTTTGTATTTCTTTTGTTTCTAGTTTTTAGAGGGAGGTGGAAAACTCCCCTTCTCTTTTTGTAACTCCTTTTTAATTTAATAGAATTGGAGCCAAATAATGCTCCTTCCCTAAAAATATGTATGTATAGATATGTGTGTGTGTGTGTGTGTGGGTGTGTGTGTGTGTGTGTGTGTGTGTGGGTGTGTTATTATTAAGTTGATTATTGCAAAAATATAAAAAATATAAATCATAATTTGTAACTAACACATACCTGACTCTGTAGTAATCAGTCAAGCTCATATCTTTAAATCTGAACTACTGCATGTCTCATCTCCCTTACTCTATTTTCATTCAACCTAAAAGAGAAGATTGTCATAGTACATTTAAAAGGGTTAGTTTTTAAAAGCTGGTTGCAAATAAAAAATGATGATACATGTAGCCTAAATACTTTTCCTTTAGATTAGTTGGATATGGTACATGTAATGTTGGTCTACCAACATGCCAATGCTCTCAAATTCAAACTTGAAGCATGTGTAAGCATCATGCACTATAAAGTCAACTCGGTGGCATCTCTCAACTTTTTATATAAATGAGACATCATCATAGCACTTATGAATAGCTTCAAGAAGCTTACGACATATTCTAATAAGAGAAAATTCTAAATGATCCTCCGACCCGAGGTATCAGGTGGTAGAAAAGTCCCTAAAATGATATAATATAAGCTCACTTATGTCATGTAAACTCAATCTTCTTCATTTACATGTAAGATATTTTATAAAAATTCCA